ACATTAGCTACAAAAATATCATTTTTTAAGAAATCCAAAATTTATTGAAAAATGCTTATTAAATATATCACATGAAAGGGCAAGACCAGTGATACAGGTAGCAGAGAGAAAGGATCAAAGCCTTAAAAGTTAATTTTCCGTGGTTGTTCAGCTAGCTTTCTCTTTAGCTGAAAAGGGATTTCCTTTATCACCTGGAATTTCAAAGTGCAGCCATGTATACAGATCCTTAAACTAATGACACCATTCATTTTCTCAGGCACAAACCACCAAATAACAGTACTTAAAGATGCTACTGAAATGTATTTACTTAAATGATCTGTCTAGAGGTTGCCATTTCTTTACATTGTTATCTTACATTTTGATAAGGTGTATAACAAGTCCAATGTATTCTTTTTTCTCTGTGACACTGCTTTTATAGCCAAGACATAGCTGTATAAAGGTTGTAAAGAGGGAGCAATGGAAAAATTATCTTTCTGGCTCTTCTTCTAAATTTATAGAACAGTTTTGTTTAGTTGAAAAATAAAGATTTAAAATTGTATTACTATAAAAAAATCATCTTTTCATGGTTAATGGTGGCATAGTAATATGTTAAAGAACACAAGCAGATTATTTGGCATTCTCCAACTAGCCACATTATTAAGTAATGACCTACAAATATTGTCATTTGTAAGATATAAAGGACATTTTTGCACCATAAACTAAAGCTGTGCATTTATCTCCTCTCACACTTTTCTTAAAATGAAGTTATACAGTGATAGCATCCAAATGGCTATCTACTGCAAAGGCTATAAATGCTGCAATAACAAAGTTAATAGGATAATTCTAAGTTGTCATTCTGAAATACTGATTAAAGCAATTGTTAAACTGAAATGGTTGTGCTTGTTTATAGAGAATAAATTTGAATATAATTCTACATAAACACATTAAGAACTGTATTTCAGTGGCATTATAGCCTTCTAAGGAACTGAAAACTAATCACTAGTAACTGATAGATAAATTTAGTATTACTCAGACTCATAGAAAAAAATAAAATTACATAAAAACATTAAAACTCATCTTCTATAAGCCTCTGAAATTTTAGTTTTTTTCTTTGTGTTTTTTAGTGGTTTTGGATTGGTTTGGATTTTTAAGAACTGAAATTCATAAATTTTGTGCAAGAACTTTTTTACAATACTATGGTAAGAGACTTAGCCGTGATAAGCAAATAAGAAGTGAGGCAGGGGAAAATGAACTGACTTATCAATCAAAACTAGCATGAATGAAAAAGAGGTATTAGGGCTTGAATTTCTGACTCTCAGAAAAATTTACCAGACATTTTGACTTTCAAAACTTAAAAATTATGTTGCTAAAATCAATAATAGACAGACCTAGGCTGAATATAGGAACTACATCAGTTGCTTTGTAAGTCAAAATTTCTTTTGTTTCTTAGCTAGAAAGAGACAGTAACAACAGTGTCATCGGTTTTGGTTGGTTTTTTTGTTTGTTTGTTTGTTCTAGCACAGGATATTATCTCCTTCTCAACTGATTCTATCAATCAGATAAATGGGAATTCACTGATGGATGAATCATAAGTCACAGTCAAAGTCTGTTTTCTTTAGGTGTGGAACACTAATACTACTCTTCTCTACCACAGTAGCCTGCAAACGCAGAGAACAATTCTCATATCACAGGCCGTGGCTGTCACAATTAAACTAGCATAGAGGCAAAAGCTTTAGGACTTCCTTTTATTCTGACATATAAACATCAAGCTGGGTTTGCCTGAGTTACAATTTGGTTACTGTTATGTTATTTGGGCTGTTTGGTGAACTTTACTTAGAGCTTACAGTATATGTTATTTACCCTTGAGTCAAATCTCTGCTATTCAGAGGGCCTATATCACTCAGTGCTTTAAAATCTGATTATAACAATATGTTTTAATTTTAAACTCTATAGGAATGTAATGAGAAAATGGAGGAGAAAGAGCATAAGCATAGTTACCTTCATTGGCAACAGACGAGCATACTGTGCATCGTGCATAAACTTGAAAAACAAAATTGTCTTTCCAGGATTACAGTAAATTTTGTGCCCTTGAAACTCTCCTTTGCTGATTTGGGAAGGTTACAAATAGAAAAAAAGGCTCAAATCTAATTATTCGGTATAATGACAGGCTCTCAAACTATTTATGCCTTCAAACACCATATTTAAATATGATCTAAAAATACTGTAAGCAGTGATTTTATATTTTTCCACAAATTTTCAATAACTAGAATTCAGGGCAATATTAGACCTATGTGTCATGCTTCCTATCTATAAAATATTTTTCCCATTTCTAAACATTTTTTCATCTATGTGGTATTTTTTAATTAATTTAATTTAGGTTACATTTATTTTGTTTTTAACTGTGTTTCTATTTTCAATGGTAATACTAAATAAACTTTCATTGAATGCACTTATCAATTAAACCCACAATTTCATTTTTAAAATGTATTGGGTTTTTTACTCACCCGTTGGCCATAAACTATACTGTTTAGAGTCAATTTGATTATGTTCCTTTAATTCTGCCCTTATAGCTTCTTGTTTCACTTTTTGCACTGTTCAGTTGTTGGTAACCACCCTAAAGTTAATTACATCCTCCAGGTCTGTGTTTTTATTCAATTACTGGTACAGGTTTTTTTATTTCTTAGATAAAGCCTCAGACAACTTACGATCTTGCTACTTGATGATGATAAATAATCCTCAGGGTTTCAGAGAACTCATCAGACTCACTGACAGATATTTCAGTAGTTTTCACTTCTGGTAATCCTTGAAGTTTATGTTATAAATATTCAGCTGTTGGTCCTCAATGAATCCACTGGTAACTACTATATCTGCTTTTCTTTCCAAATGGTAAGTGAGAATTTATTTTGGCTCCTTAAGACTGTTCTGAATTATTCTAAACTAACAGCTTTATCTATGTTAGTAGTGATGAAATTGTTAGAATTTCATGTGTCTGTACCGTATGTATGTTCTTGGTAAAGGAAATAGGTCCTGACCATAGACTCGTTTTCATGAACATTTTTAACTGACTTCCTACACTCCCAGATATTCTCCCGTTTGTTATTTTTGTTAAGTTTTTAATTACTGCTTTCTCTCTTAGCAGAGATAGCTTTAAAACAAAAGAGCCATCTTCTGTGAAATTGTAATTGTGTGTTTTATGAGGGATGGGTGGCATCTAATAAATGTCTTCATATTCTCCCTCATCATTGACATTCTTCCCACCCAATTTTGTAGCTGATGGGTTTCAGCATCAGGAAACTGACCCTTTAAGAGCAGCAAGATACATACTATAGGCTGAGACTCTGCTACATTTTCACTTACCATAATAAACTAACATCCAAGCAAAACATCAGTTTTAGTGCAGCAATCAATGAGACCTTCTAGAGTTTGAATTGGCATTGCTACACCTTGTTGTTTTATTTTTTCAAAAATTCAAATATGGTTTCAATAAATAATAGTGGTTTATCATTGGAGCTACCTGGGATAAAACATAAAATACATAACTCTGTATGTAATATGGATAGAAATTTAAAGAGCTGTTCATCTTATTCTGTCTTCCAAACTTATGATCTGTAACATATCTTCCATTAGCACCTCCTTTAAAGTATCAAAGTGAACACTGACCTACGACAATATCACAGGTCTGCTTAAACTGGCGAGTCAATCACTCTAAAATGGTTTATGACTAGAGCGGTTTGATTTTTTTTTTCTTTCCTCCAAATATGGTTTTTCAGACTTTCAGGCTTTTCTGCTACATTGTTAATATATCATTTTGATAAAGTTTCATAGGAATATTCTGTGTGTGAAAGAGACTTGAATCCTACATGAATTAATGAATTAGGATGCTTGAGAGACTTGAACATACTCTTAGAAAGTAGGCTTCTATACATTCTCCACATATAAAAATTCAGACATTTTGAAAAGTTTAAAAAAAAACCAACAAATTTTCTATATTCCCACATGTAACAAAAGCAAGTTTTGAAACTGCGAATGGTTCCATGAGATGGAAATTGTCACACTCACAGAGGCAGTTTAAGACGTCATCACAAATACCTTTTGAACCATCCTTTTTCAGGAAGTTATATCATTTGTTTTGTTGTTTGTTTTTTAAAATCTATTGTGCTGTTGTACAGAAATTTTAAGATTAAGTAGCATCACATCTACTTACAAGCTTTGCTCCTCACACACAAGTAGTCTTACAACAGTTCCGATTCTGCTACCACAACATTATTGAACTGCAAATTATATGTATAGAGAAAGTTTGCAACCATGGCTACCACTCTGAGAAAAAAGTGTGGTAGCTTTTTTCCCAAAACTGCCACCTAGATCAGTCTAGTTGCCAAAATACTGCCATTTTTTTTTTGCCCAATGTAAAATTAGAATTCAAATTTAGTAAAGACTAATCTAACACATGGTTTAAACCATAACAATTTTATTTTAAGTATGTTATATAGATTACATAATTTGAGTACATCTCCGGGCTCGTTATATTTTCACAAAAACAGCTTCACTTTTTCCTAGGAAATGTAATGCAAGATAAGATGGATCATGTGGTTCACATAGAGTTAGTACCACTGAGATTTTACCGTCTTTCACTGAAATGTTTTTGATTAATATGTTCTTATTTTCAAGAGATAAAAAGCATTGGACATAGAACATGATAAGTATAAAAAACTGGTATGATAACAGTATCATTAAAGAGTTGGATTTAAAACAGTGGTTTAGATCATTTAGTCTTACACAAAATTAATAAAGAAAACGCGACTAAGAACTAGTCACAGATGAACTGGACCGAGAACAGCATGTGAAATATATCCCCACAGATCAAAAAGTGAAAAATCAAAAATTATTAACTCTTTCACAGACTACATGAAACTCCCAATAATGCAGCCAGCAGGGTTTTTATTATTGTTCTTTATTTAGGCAAGTAGAAGCAGCATGCTTTTTTTTTTTTTTTTCCTCTTTTTTTTTTTCCTCTTCTCATGTTGTTTCACTTGTTAAAGTAATCTTTTTTTTTGCCTGGGCATCTGCAGGTGACTTTGGACTTTTGTAATCAACTTCACAAACTGATATAGTGTGCTTATGGGTAGAATGATATTGTGTTCTAATCAGGTCCAGATGGTAGAACAGTCTTTGCAATTTCATTGCTGTTTTCTGCTGTAACATCTACCAAGTCAGAGACCTAAACACCACTGTAGAGTCAGACAGAAAACAGCACATACTCCAAAAATGCAACATATAAATGAAGAAATAAAAGGTAACTGCAAGACAGTTTGAGGCAGAAAAACAATTGTGGATTTCATCTTAACAGTGCCAAATAGATCAGACTCGCTGCTGTATCATAGATTTCATGCCAAAAATGAAAAGGCTTTCCATTGACTCCTAACTGAAGGGATGCAAAAGTCCCATACACCAATAGACTTAATTCTGAACCAGTCACCCAATTGGAAATAGATCTCTAACTGGGATTACTGAATTCCAATAGAACAACAAAGAGTCTCTACTGTTTTAAAAAATGCCAGATTAAGAAGTGTAGTAATGCTGTATATTATTACTGTATCTATATAGACTGTAATATCAGAATTCCCTTGAACAGAAATAGGGTATTTTAGTGTTCATATCCTTGTGTGTACCCATGACAATTTGGGCATAGTCACAATATGGTATGCATAACATCTGCAGTTGAAACATAACATAGTAAAAATGTATTTTTAAATAGGTATATTATTATATGATATAAAAGCAAATCTATACAAATAAGGAAGAGTGAAAAACATTTAAAGAAAAGTAAAATGAAAAACTATCAGATTCTATATCATCTGCTTTTTGTAGATATTTAGAATCTCAATATATTTAATATTACCAACTTCCAGAGCCTTCCAGGATTTGATATAGAATTTTCTCAATTTTAAAAAATACATATATATATACTAGTTTTATGATGATCAACTGCAAATGCAAGTGTTCAAGTATCAAATTTGGTATAGCTAATAACCTATTTCTGTCCCCCTTTGCACTGCAGTCTATCAATCATGTTTTGTCATTAAAACTGTTAAATCCAAAAGCAGAACCATAAAGTTTAAGAGTATCTATCAATATCTCTAAGAGCAAAAAAAAGAATCTGGAATAGATTTGGTGAAAATTAATCTGATAAAAATGAAAGAAAGCAAAATGAATAATTTGCTACCTCATCCAGGTATATGAAATACATTATGGATCTTTTCTGAAAAAAACAGGAATGAGTCACTGTTTATTATATAATTTCCGTATCTCCATTAAGATAAATAAAATGTTAGTATGTTGAAAGATACCTAAGTATTGGAAATGATTAGGAAGTATGAGCTGAAGAAACAACATGCATTTTGAAATGGACAGCGAGTATGAAAGTCTTAGGGAAAAGGACACTTTCTAGAATATGATAGCAAGTGGGGTCATACAAATAACTACAGATTATACTAAAATATCTATTAGCTGAAGAAGTATCATTGTGTCATACAGTCAAAACAAAAATTCACAGCTTGTATTTGTGTAAATATTTTTTCCTCCAGGTTGGACAGAGCTTTGGGCAACATGGTCTAGAGTGAGGCATCCCTGCCCAGGCAGGGGGGTTGGATCTAGATGATCTTAAGGTCCTTTCCAACCCTAAACATTCTATGATTTTGTAAGGTCATCCAGGTACATATGACTTGCAAAATCAAGGCCTAAAATTAGTTGATTCATTCACTCTAAGTAGCTATAGGTGAAACAATATAAATATAAATATAAAAATAAATAAAATAGATTAGCTCCAGTCTTCATGTTGTTCTCCTTGGGGAAAAAAAAAAAAAATTAGCTGCAAGGTTTCATCCTTCTTGACATTCTGATTGGCTAAAATTCTCTCCTGGTCTGCCCTTTCTTACATACCACAGCATCTCATAGGTGCTTCAGTAGCAAAGACTGACTTACAAATACACTACAGGAATACTCAGCAGACACAGGAATGGCTTTGTGCAATATGATTGTGAACATAAGCAGCACAGAGCAGTAGATAAAGCATATTCCTTCAGACAGGCTTCCCAGAATAGCAACAAGCCAAAAGAAGTTCAGTTCCACTAGAGCAGAGGTGGAAGATATAAGAGGAAAATGATCCGCCTATACATTTTGAATAAAATACTGAAGTGTTTTAAGACTGTTATGTGATAGGTAGCATGTAACAGTTACTTACAGACGCATGCTAGTACTGGGAGGGGACAGCCACAAAGTTCCCATCTTAGTCCAACTTCTTACAGTTTTTAGGGAAATCATATCCAGAATTCTCATTTAGGGCTCTCTCTAGTTATAAGTAATGTAAGAAATGCAATATTCCATCCTTATCCCAAAAAAAAGAAACGCACTATTTTATTAATCTGTTTCAGTTTGCCTTATTTATTTCTGACTGTGTGGCAGCTGTGTAGACCATTATGCTGGCCTGGAAATGTAAATTATAATATGAACCAAAAGAATATGTTCCAGATTTCCAAAGATTCTTGAGATATTAAATAAGTGTCATATTTTCATACTTCTCTTCTGAAAGCTGAACACATCCTTCTTTACCATGATACAGAAGTTCTCAAGTCATTTGTGTTTTTAGGAAGCCTTTTCCCAGAAAGTTATCTCCTCCTATAGCATCTGACAGAGTGATTTCTCAGAGTATGAACTGATAATATTGTTCCCGAGAATTAGTTTTTAAGAAGCATCTTTTGACTGACACTCAGTTTTAATAACTTTCCAACTTTTAGGCAGTAGGAGTTATGGGTTTCATTCCCTCACTTGTGATCAGTAGAGCCTCATACAAGCACTGCAGAGCTGCTTTTGGGGTTTTTAAGGTCTAAAAATTAAAATAAAAAGTCCTACCTGTGTGAAGTGTCAGTAAAAAAAAAACAAACAAACCAACCAAACCAAACCACTTCAATATAGCAAAGTAGCCAAGGTGACTATTTTTTCCAGTGTTGTTATTACTGATTTATTATAGCATTACAGAAGCTCTCTGGGCTTTTTTTAACTTTCCAATATCCCATGTTAAGAGTAAAACTAAATTTCACTTTAAAAGTGCTGGAATACAGTTTTGAAGATCTTTTGTAATGTATGCTTCTTATTTTGCAAAGTAAACTTTTTCACAAATTGCTTCAGTTTGGTAAACTGATGTCCTCATCCAAAAGTATAAACATTATCTTCCAATTAGCTGAAATACTTAAGAATTTAGTTACAGTTTTATGCACTTAATTTTAAGAACAAGGGTTGAAAAATGGTTTACAAAGCTTGCCTTTATCTTTTCTTGTGTTTTGGGGGTTTTTTTGTTACTTTGTTGAGTTACACACATACGCACACACATGCCTACCCCCATAATATATTAAGGCAGATTTTTCAAAGGTCATGCTGTTAAACTCAGAGATAATATGACATTCTTAGACAGCAAAGGTGGGCCCCTGTACCTGACAAACATTAAAAATTAATAGGAAGCTATAGTCCTGCAAAACTTAGATGCTTCAGAGTCATCTGTCTCAGACCTATTGTAAGTGACAGGATATGAGATTGTTAGAAAAAGAGTGAAATTTTATGTTAAAATGATTATATAGAGCAATAGAAATGACTATATTTGAAAAGTTTTCGAATCAATAGTAGACTTCTGTATATTAAAAGAATGCTGTAACTTTGCTGTGGTAGCCTCAGCAGTAGAAACTAATGTAACAATGAGAAGGACACAGGATGCCTGGCCTAAGACCTTGTAGTTTAGAACAGGGAAGCTTTGTCAAACTGTGCGTCTTGATAATACAGACATTCATAATTTTTGTATTGCTTACAAGGAAGCTTTGTCTAGAAATGGAAACCATGTATCTTAAGCAGCAGAAAATTTCATCTCTGCAATATTGGTAGCTTTGTGAAATAATTGCAACATAAAAGGACAAGCCAAGTGAGAAAGCGAGAATGCTGGCGACCACATAATGGTTGGGGCCTGTCCAAAGAACAGAAAGGTGAAAAGAATGAGGGGAGGAAGACTCCTTACTTCATCGGGACGACCACCAGAGGGGGCTGCGCAAGCGCAGAAGAGGCTGATGTCATAATAGACTAATGAAGTAATCCTTGATGCATATGTATTAGTTACGAAATTTTAGTGTATAAATTGCGAACGCGATGTGACGGGGTCGAAGCCAGATTTGAGTGCGTGCCCCTGGTTTCCCAGCGCTGCAATAAAGCAACTCATATAACCATTCCGGTGGTTATGTGTCAGTTCTTGTGCTAACAAGATGGCAATGAGGAGCAAAATGACAAACATTTCACAAAGTGCTCTGTCTTTCAAAAAAAAAAAGATCTAAAGTCCATAACCAAAAGAAGTGAAACTTTTAAAAAATAGATTAGTGAAAACTCTGCATATAATTTTGCAAAATATTTCTTTCTTTAATATGGTACTTTTCCTATTGCCCTTCTAAAATGTATTACAATTAATAAAGGTATTTGAACAAATCTTTTGAAATTCAGAGAAAAAATAGTGATATCTTAACACCAATAAACTGTTTCTGATAGAGTGGAACACCTATCAATATTTTCTGCAAAATGAATGAAATTCAAGTTTTCCTAATTTAACAAGTTAAGGAGAAAATACTCAATGATTAAGTACATGAACCACCTCATTTCTGCAAAACAAAAAGTGCACCTGTGACTAAATTGATCACAGTTTCCTCTTGAATCCTCTTTAGCAAAATTAAAAAGCAATTTTTATGTTAATTAAATATTTAAGGATGTCCAATAAAGAAAAAAACAAACAAACAAAAAATCTGCTTAGCACGTCATGGAAATTATCATGCCAACAATGCACTATAGAAATCATATACCTTTAATTATATAGAAATCATACCCTTTAATTTTCAAAGAGGACTTTCAACATAGCAGCTAATGTATTTGTTGGTATGTATTTATATATACACAGAACATATACATATAATATCTGTTATTCTTCCTGTAATAGGGGAAACAGATTTTCATGGTAATTAATCTCTTTGTACAGATGACCATTTTGTAAAAATGTCATTATGTATAAACACCCAGCATTACAATAGAAATACTTTACTTGGATGTGCTTCAGCTTTAATAAAGAGAAAGATCTATGATTTAATTCTGCATTGTTTATTTCAAGTCTCAGACATTTGAAACTTTCCTTTCAATTAAATGGCAATGA